TTTGACCACCGATGTCTCCGAAGCACTGCTTGCATCTGGTTGGAAATTCGGGTGAGCAATGAAGAGGTCCATCCTCGTGTTGGGTGGAAATAGTCGTTCTGTAAAAGAAGTAATGGCTCAACACCACCTCCAATAGCTTGGTCACGTTTAGCGGATACCTGCCCATTATCTTCAGTGTTCCTTTTGCTCATGCTGGAAGAAACGTTGTGGTGGTCAAACCATGACATGGCGTAGAGATATGAAGAAGCTAGCTTCAGCTTTGGCTTCGGTTGGTGCAGCTACCATTGGCGTGGTTCGGTACAAAATTACAGATCCTATTGGACCACCTGCGTTGAGTCGGATCATGCACTAGTTCTGTTACGCTTCACTCTTAGACTCATCGGCAGAAATCGCCTCCTCAGTTAGCTCATCATCGTCTGCGCGATCCAGCTGTTTGCACACGTTATGAGAAACTGGGACAGGAACTATGAGAACCGCGACATAAAGGAGTAGACCAACAGTGGAATCAGATAAAATGCACTAAGCAGCAAACTGCTTGTGAGACTCAGCCCGAAAGTATTGGAACTCTCAGGAGTCAGTAATCCTGATGGATCAAAAGCGAAAGATCCGAATCTACCAGAACCAGCATAAGGATAGGTGTCGCCTGCAACGTCAAGTTAGGAATAACCTTAAGACAGATGGTGAAAATTGGTGGGCCAAAATAACTAGTGAAATGGAGGTAGCTCCTGAATCAGGGACTAGTAAGACTGTTTCACCTGATACGCAGTACCGGAGGTCGTCGCATACCGGTCAGTGAGACTATTTGCGATAAAAGTGGACAGAGTATCCACAATAAAGAACGACTTGACCGATGGGCAGAGTATTTTAGTGAACAGTTCAATCGGTCCAGTGCTAATGCAGTCATTCCAGCAATTGCGGTGGAAAACCCATGGGTGGTAATATGCGAGCCCCAATTAGAATCGGAAGTACCGAGCTGCATTCAACCACCAAAGAACGGGAAGGCTACGGGACCTGGTGGGCTTCTCCCTATTATTTTCAGGGTGGACGGTAATTTTCTTATCGACTGGATTACTAACTTACATTGCAGCATATCCCTTTGTTCTGGGGTGAATCGTTGATCGTCTCGATCTTCAAGAAGGGATCGTGCAACGACTGCACCAACCATCGAGGGATTACTTTAGTTCCGACAATCACAAGTGTTGACTTCTGTGATACTTCGTCGCTTGGGACCCTTAAGGGTGAGGAATATCCGCGAACAGCAAGCCGGATTCCAACCAGGTCACGATTTCATCGACCACACACATCGTCGGCCAACCGTCGCAATGTTCCTTGACCTAAACAGAGCTTTCGATTCAGTTGACCGTGAAGCTCTTCTGGGGTCGCTGTTCCGCAAAGGAATGCCGCGGAAGTATGTAAACATACTGCGGTCGCAGTACCTGCATACTTCTGGTAGCGTAAGGGTCTACGGTGGAATAAGTGGATTGTTCGAAACCAAGAGCAGTTTTCGCCAAGGGTGCTTTATTTCGCCATTCCTGTTCAATTACGTCGTAGACGAAGTACTGGAGAACGCACTCAATTGTCTCCGAAATGCACGTATTGAATGAGCAGCTGGAAAAAAACTGTGCGATTCAGAG